CTGCTCCAAACTGTTGATTTGAGTCCCAGTCTCCTTGCCTTCACTGTTGACTCTCTTTATTTCACTTTTCATGGCCTTCCCTTTTTCTTCTATTTTGCAACCATACTCAACCATTTCTGGGACATCCTGATCAACAGTGTTTTGAACTCTGCCTTTGCTAGGTTGGCTATCTATTCATCACCTAGTCATATTTTTTTCTGGAGTTTTGATCTGTTCTTTCATTTGGGCTATATTTCTTTGTCTTGGCACATGCCTGTTAAGTTGTAAGGGGTGGAGCCTTATGTACAAGGGCAGGGCAACCCACACTGCTGCATTGTGGTGCTATCTGTGGTGGAGGGATCAGAGAGGGAATAATGCTGCTTGCTTAGCTCTTTCCCCACTTTCCGTCATTTCCCTCACTTTCTACAAGTAGATTGTGCCCTTCCAGCTGCTGATTCCTGGATGGGTGAGTTTGTGTATATTCTAGGACCCTGTGAGTCTCTCCAATGAATTCTCCCGTGATACTGGGAGTTTCTCTCACCTTTGCAACCCCACAGATTTTTACAGCCAGAGATTTTTAGTCTTTAGTTTCCCATGCTGAAACCCTGGGTTTCCCGGTCTCACTCCCTAGTTGTTCCTCCCAGCTTATCCACATGAGAATGTGGGACTGCAAGGTCCACCAGCTCCTGCCTCACTTGCACTGTCTACAGCATTGCTGCCTCTCTTTTCTGCTTGGCTGCCCATCTCCACCCCTTCTACCAGTCTGGATGAATGTTTCTTTAACTCCTTGGTAGTTGGAGTTCCATACAGTTTGATTTTCTGGCAGTTCTGGGTGTTTTTGTGTTTAAATTGGTTGTTATCCTACTTTTGGTTGTTCAAGGAAGTGAAGTGCTTCTTCCTATGCCTCCATTTTGGCCAGAACTCTTTTGTTTCAACTTTTTAAATTATTTGAATTTATCAACTTTTCTCCATCCATACCACCACTACCCTAGTCCAAGCATTTCTTGTCTAGACTCCTGTTAGCTCCTAACTTATAATGAGTTATTTTCTTTCCTCAATTCAATTTATTCATGACTGATTAGGAGTTGTAATTTTTTTGTTTGAAATTAGGCTTTTTATAACCCAGTAGTACCCTGGGTATTAGAATCCTGAAATCATATAATGCTAGACTTGAATAAGATTTATATATTATTTAATCTACATCCTACATTAATAAAGATAGTCTTGGTTATTTTGAAGTAATAAAAAAAGTCCCAAATCTTACAGGCTTAAAGCAGCAAAGAATTCTTTCTTCTTAAATTGTGCAACCATTATGGGGTGGCTGGGGACTCTAATCTGAGTCATGCACTTTCTGTGACTCATCCCAATGAAGGAGCCACTATGGTCTTGAGCCAGTCACCATGGATGAGGGAAAGAAAGCCATAGCTAAGCGCGCATGAATCCTCAACAGTTTCCCAGGAGTGACATATATCATGTTTAATCAGTTTCTTTGGCCAAAGCTAGTTACATGACCACACCTAAACTGAAGCAGTGCAGGGCATTGCAATCTCCCATGTGCCTAAATGGAGAACTGAAAATATTCAGTGACTACTAATGACTAATTCAGTCCTACATTTTACAAAGGAAGAAATTGGGAACTGGAGATTATGTCACAGGTCATGAAGCTGATTTATATCACAGTCAAAACTAAAACTGGGTCTTGGATTCACTGTCCAGTGCTTTTTAAAAATAATGAACCAGGAACTGCTTGTCTTCTACTTACAGTAGAATTAATTTAAGTGTCTTAATATTAATACTTTATTTACTTAGGTAATATAAAATCCTTGTATTAAAAGGTTTTTATACCTTGGCAATAAAATATAAAACAGACAAATTAGAGGTTTTGTTCTTTCAGTCTCACTCATGTTCTAGCAAGATGCCTTGGTAACAAAACACAAAATCAATCTCTCTCTCTCTCTCTCTATGCACACACACACACACACACACACACACACACACACACACACACATGAATGAAACTGTTCACTGTATCCTTTAGAAATGTATTGACAAAATGGCTTTAGGAAGAGAGGTTTATTTTACCCTGATATTGAGAAGTCTACAGGTACTGGTTCAGTAGCTCAGTGGTATCAGAGACCATGCTTCTCTTGGCCTTTTCTTATGGACCTAGAGTGGCTGTAACTGTTCTATGTATTATACTTATGATCAAGTCTGGACAAAGGGGGATGGGTGGCAAGCCAGCTGTTACTACACCTTTTATTAGAGAAGCAAAGCTTTCCCAGAATCAATACCCCACTCCCCATTATCACAGACTACCATAGTGCCCCATTTGCCAGGACTAGGATTACATGGACACCCTAGTGACAAGAGAGACTAGAAAAATTGAAAATAAAGTTAAAGTATTATGATTGAGCAAGCTTAAGACTGCCTTGAACAAAATAGGGTTCTCCTGGCAAGGCATGGCATGAGGGAAGAGGTGGTAGAAAACAACTAACAGTGACCACCCCATTTATTGATTGATTAAAGGATAGTTTAAAAGAATTTATCTATTATTGTTAAAGTTGATCTAGAAATTATTGTGGATACATAAGATATAGATTCACTACTGAATTCCTTGTGGCTATGCTATGTATCTTCTTAAATAGTGAAATTCAAAATATGATAAAGCTACTACAGTCAGTTCCACTATAATAGTTATTTCAAAAACACAAATTTATTTCAACAAAGACAAACTGTTTGAGCATAACACAGTTTCACATTTCCTTACCTGTGATTTTGTCCACTAGAAACACTCAGTTAATGAAGAAAAGTGCTGAACCACAAAGGAGTACATAAAACTCAGGCATGTACACCCCTCCAGGTTTCCAGGTTTCCAGCAGCTTCAGTTTACTGCCCGTGGTCCCAGCCACACCTGTCCACTTCTGACACTGCACACTTCCATCATCTGATTTCAAATATCTCCTCTGCCACTTCACTCAGAAGCTACAACGCTATGACTTCTATAAGATACCTTCAGTTATTTTTTAAATTTTAACCTTTTAATTTTATTTTTTAAACTTCAGTTCCTTTTCAAAGTAAAGCTTCATATTTATTGTAATATTTATCTATTTCTTAACTGTTTATCACACGTAAAGCTGTGCTATAATTGTTTTTGTTTTCTATCTGTTTTTATATATGTATATATTTTTAATCCTTACCCAGGGATATATTTATTGATTTTGAGAGAGAGAGAGAGAGAGAGAGAGAGAGAGGAGAGAGAGAGAGAGAGAGAGAAAGGGACAGAGCGGGATCAGTGATCAATTCCTCCTGTACGTGCCTGGACCCACAATCTAAGAGTGCGCCCTGACTGGGAACCACACTCAGCATTCTGGTGTGCAGTGTGTTGCTGCAGCAAAGTGAGCCCCCCAGCCGGGGCTCTCTCTGTACTTTATTGGTCACCCACGAAGTTTTTGAGTGCTGAGTCTCTAATCTCATATTTTTATAAGTACTGTAGTTTTGATTGTACAGTTTTGTAGTAGTGTTATGTCTAATAGTATATGTCTGTTAGTAGGCAGTGAATACACACATATTATATACACACATATATATATATATATAATAAAATACAATTTAGACATTTTAAACTTGAATTCAAAAAGCTAATTTTTCATCTTAGTGGTGAATGTCCCTTTAAAAGCATTTATTAAACGTACTTGGAAGGGCTTGTTTTAAAAAGACTGAGGGTTGTATTCAATAAAAGGGATTCAATATGCCAAGATATATATAGATGTTTTTATAGTGGGTGAAAATCTGTCATATATCTTTTAAGATAATTATGTGAATTGTTTGCAGCCCACACATCCTGAGTTGGAAAAATGGTTTTCATCTCTTTTTTTCCTCAGTGTAAGCCTTGTCTAACAAGAGTTACAAAGCTGGCTTTTGGCTGTCTCTTTACAAGAAAAAAGAACCTGTTTTCCTCCTCAGGGTCTTTCTTTTATTTAACGAGGACATATAAACCCCTCAGCACATCCCCAGAGCTTCTTAGAGCCTCCCCTTGAGAAATCTCAGTGAGTACAAGGAAAAACAACTCTAAAAAAAATTACCAAAAGGCCCATCACTATTTGTCTTTCTCTCTCTCAGTCCTTGCCCTTTGTCCTTTCAACTTTCTACACATCTGTTCTCAGTTTCAAATATTTTTCCTCTTATTTTCCCAAGGTGAGCTGCCTTTTTAGTCACTCCTTTTGCAAAAAGGGATGGGGAAAAGCTGGTACAGAAATCATATCCTGACAAGTTGCTTGTTTCCTTATAGACCAAGACTCAGAAGGACAGGGCTGGGGCCGTAATGGATTTATTTCAGGCAGGAGCAACACTGGGAGAGGAGAAATCAAAAAGACACCTGGCAGCCTCTTGGACATTCTCTTTTCTTTCCGTGCCCGCAGACCAACCTCCCTCAAATTCACATTTTTGTTTCCTCAGGAATGCGGAAAGGGGGTTTGGCAAGTATATTTTTTAGTAAATAATGTTTGGGTGTTCATGACTCAGTGTGCACAGCGATCCTTAAAAATGACTCTGTATCCACTCTTGTGATATGAATGCAAATTCTCTTAGCCTCACACTAACTCTGTGGTCACATATGAGTGACTAAAGGTCACACACAGCCCACATCTGCCTCCGGGCAACAGACAACACAGTGCCCTGAACACGCCTGTGCACCCCCATCGGCACACATGAAACCCATCAGCCACAGCTTACACTCCAGTGCGCTTCCCTTCCTCCCAGCCTCACCTTCTTCTCTTTACTCTTCCCCCAACCCCCAGCTCTCACCCCACACAATGGGATTTTTGTTTGCCTCAGTAGCATGTGACAGTGCAGTCCCTGCTTTGCCTAGCTCTGTGCTGCAGGTCTCTCAGGTAACAGGTGGCAACTTCCCCTGTTGGATTCTAGGTATAAAAAAGGAATGACCTCATTGGGGTGGGGCTCTGGGACTCCGTACAGGTGGCAGTCACGGCCAGGTAATCCTGAAGTGAAGCTGTGTAGTTAGAAGGGGGCAGTTAAACTTGACACTCTGGTGGTTTTAACCCTCACCCTGAGGCACTTTAGCAACCAACAACCAGCCATACCCTGCAAAGCCTCTGAAGCTTATCTTTGCCTCAGATGGAGCCCGAAGAAGCCACTGGGAAAGAAAACGTGGGCACCAAGAAGAAGAACCTGACTTTCTTGAGGCCCCGGCTCTATATGCTGGAGAGAAGGAAGACAGACACTGTGGTTGAGAGCAGTGCTTCTGGGGACCACTCTGGCACCCTGAGGAGGAGCCAGTCTGACAGGACCGAATACAACCAGAAACTACAAGGTAACCCACGAGAAATCAATCGTCCCAGGTTACTGCTTCCCAGCCTTTTTTCTCCTGCTCTTCCATTTGCAAAGAAAACACTTAAGGTAGAGCAGGAAATCAAATGTTACCTCCTCTCTAAGAGGAAAATAAGAAAAAATAAAAATAAAAGTAAATGTAATTCACAAGTTATTGGAACAAGTTATTGGAACAAGTTATTATTATGTGCTTCAATATTTAAAGAGCCACTTCTGAGTTATTCTTAATATTATATTTTTTTCCTGATGAGAGTAATATTTTTTCTGCTATGTTCCCCCTTCCTTTCCCCCTCCTCCACCCAATTTTAGAAATGGGAAACATTAGAAAGCAAATGATTTTGAAATCTACAAAAGAGAATTTATCTTAATAGAGAGGTGTTAGATGTCACACCATGAGATCTGTCTAGGTAACTGCACTGAACTGTGATTAAATGGGGGCATGAAACTATAATCATGTCTGTGAAAAATAAAAACTGTTGTCAGCAGGATGGCATAACAGGATTTGTTGAAAATCACCTAGGTGTTCATTCCTTTAGAGTGAATCGAATAACATCCAAGTACAGTAATAGATGTTTAGCATGCTTAGATTGAATCACTTTTGGAGAAATAACTTCAGTTATTTTGTCATGGGTATGAGATAATTTGGCACAGTTATTATAACGCATTCTCTGTTTCAGGCCTTGAATTTCTCTAACTCTTCTCATCTATTCTCTCTTTCTTTTTTTCCCTTCTCCTGAAGGTCACTTGTTCTAGAAAACTTTATTTTGAGATTGAAATTTTGCAATGTTGTAAATATCCACTGACGTCCCTGTTAAGTGATCCCCAAACCTATCTCTGCCTCCTTTGACCACATTTGTGTTTGGGTTTTCATAATCCCACCAAAAGCATCGCTCTGATTGAAAAACTGCAATGAGGCTGGAACAACTGATGGGACAAGCTTATACTTAGCTGATCTCTTTCATCAAAAATATGTGTGAACTTAGTTATGCGAAGTAAATAAGTTAAGTGCATTTTTAATTAAATCTTTAAAGATTCTTCCCCTCAGTTAATACTTTTAAAAAATCCTGGTAGCTCAGAATTAAAATGTAGAGTTAAGTCTTATTCTTAAAGGATACTTTTAAAAATGGGGAAGGGGCATCATTTGATTTTTGAAATTGTTCTTAAGGTAATTGACATGTTGGGAAGAATGCAAAATTTAAAAAATATTTTATTTATTTATTTTTAGAGAAGGAAAGGAGGGAGAAAGAGAGAGAGAGAAACATCAATGTGCGGTTGCTGGGGACTGTGGCCTGCAAACCAGGCATGTGCCCTGACTGGGAATTGAACCTGCGATGCTTTGGTTCACAGCCTGCGCTCAACCCACTGAGCTATGCCAGCCAGGGCAAGAATGAAAATTTTAAAGTCATCCACATTGGTTTCTAATCCTGTCTCTTCTGAACTTCAGTTTCCCCATCTGTGAAAATGGGTACTGCTGCCACATAGTATTGTTAAAAGAATGAACTTAGATAATCACATGAAACACCTAGTATATTGGCTGACACAAGGTATGCACTCAATAAACAGTAGTTATTTTCAGTTTTAGGAACAATGAGTACTATAATGGTAGAGCAAAATTTGTCCTCTATTAATCTAAATTTCTTCTACTAATCTATTTCAACTATTTTCTGTCCTTTGATGAAGTGATCACATATGGCAGTTTAGGAAAAGCCCATTGCTTGTTCCCTACGAACAGGTTTCTTCTGTCTGGGTCTCACTGATCCAGCATCTTTTTGGTTCACATATTCCATTCACAAAATAAAAAGATAGGAAATACTTTTTACTATTAACTTCCTAAACCTAACTAAAAAAGTAAGTCTGGGCCATAAAATACAGCAGGTGGTTTTAAGTTACTCTGCAGGAAACCTCAGGCTTCTTGTACACTCCTTGGGATTTGTGATTGTCCTGTGCTCTGATGGGTCCTGTCTTTGAAGGTGAAAGAAAAGATGCAGGAGTGAAGCTATGTTCCTGGAACTGCCCATGCTGGAGAAACACCATCAGGGATTGTACAGGAGCACATCAGAGCTATAGAAATAGACTGGCCTCCTGATACGTGACATTTTTTTAGATGTAACTCTTAATAAAATCCAAGTGTGATATCTCATGAGTAATAGAGCATTAAATATGATTCTCCCCTAACTGCTTTGTCAACAAGAGAAGGCATTTCCTCATTAATGTTCAAAGCAATAATTTATTTGGGTTTAGACTTTGGTCCTACTATATCCACTATCAGGCAGATGAGTTCTAAACACCTTAAGAAGCCTTTATCGTTGAGATGTCAAGAGTTTTTCCTTTGCCTACCATAGAATTGGTAGTTCCCTGGGAGGTGCTGAATAAACACTGAGCTGGTTACAGCCCTCAGAGGGATTGCTGGAAGCCACTGTGAGGTCACAGCACTCTTTCTAATAGTGCAAGGCAGCCTCAAATTATTTAGTCTGTTGTCAGTGCTATGTTACTGTCTGAGCATTACAATTAGCTGCTCTAACTCTCTCTGGAAGCAAGTTCTTTGGGTTCTGGGAAATACCAGATCTTTCTCAGGTGCCCTTGGGGTTGCCGCTTAATTCTTGCTATCCACCTGTTCAATTCAATTTCTGACAGACATCATTTTGGAAACATGAATCTGAAATTCTATTTTTTTTAAAAAAATGGTACACTGGGCAAAAGCTATTAGATTAAATAATAGAACATGGTTGTAATAAGAATATCATAAATCTTTATAGAAAATTGTAATCACATGCACAACATATGTGATTATGTGATTACACAACATATGTGAATGATATGTGTAATCACATAGTCATTCCTGCTAAGTCTCAAGCTGTACAATGATAGCCTGCCATTGGTGAAACAGGAAAAGTCAGCATTTATGCTGCCTGTCACTACCAGAACCAATAAGTAGAGACAAGGATTGACTCATTATGAGCACTTTATTCAGATAGCCACCAACTTGAGAAGACAATGGGTTATGTACCCCCAAAAGACCATCTTGGTCTTGTCTCAAGCTGAATTTTTTTATAAGGAGAAGAAGAGTATAGGTAAAGGATTTGAATCTAGGAAAAAGGTACATAAGGGGTTCGGAATTTGGGAAAAATGGTTAGTCAGATAAAGCTGCAGTCCTGTGATTTCCCTAGCATCCCTTTATCTGTTGACCCATGATTCTGCATCTGTGTGTCCTGGTCAGCAGGCGTTCCCTCCCTGGAGCACAGTGGCTCAGATACCATCTTGACCACTTGCAGTCCTCCTGGGGCACAAAGGTAGAACTGCTTGTGGGTCTCCCGGAGTCTGGGTAGGTCTGTTTATACATTCCAGTTCCTGGAACAATAGCTTTCTTACATTCATTAATTGCTAAGCCTGTTAACTATACAACTAAGCTAAAAAACATTTTCAACTCTTGAGTTCCCTCATCGTTAGTGGCTTCTTTATTTCTCCAGCAGATTTGTTTAGTTAATTTATTGAAAATGTTATATGGTAAGCAAAACTGAAATATATGCCAGGAATTACTACTACAAAATCATTATGAAAAAAAAGTCTGACCTTTACTCTACAGCGACATAAAGTCTCACTGAGAAAGATAAGACAGGTAAACAAATGTAATAAAGTGACAGGATAGCAGTGGAAGAGAGATCAGTAAGTCCACAAAAGGAAAAAACAGTTTATTCAGGGTTGAGTGGAAAAAGTGGTGAGAAAACATTCACAGATGATAAGGTGAGGAGAAGGAAGAAGGGGCAGAACGGGGAAAGAAGCATGTTTTAACCTCTTCGTTGTACTTATCTTTGTCTGAAATTGTGTTGCTTGTTTCCCTGTTTATTGCCTATTACTAACTTTCATTTCTTCTCCCATCTCTCATCTCCCCATTCCATAAAAGACATCCTGTCTGTCTTGCTAACTGTTCCATCTCTGCATTTAGAATCATCCACAGCACACAGTGAGCACTCGGTAACTTCCAAGTAAAATGAATGATTGGAATGACCTGGTTTAGGCCAGAAATCAGTGTGAGGAAAGGCATCAACCCTGAGTGAAGAATCCCTGTGTTTTTATCTGTGAGGACAGAGATGTCCATTAACAAAGATGATTCTTCAGGAAAAAGAAACATAGCAGAGATTAAAATGTACAGAATTACCTACATAACAAATAATTCTTAGTGGAAGCCTACCTAATTCCTGACCTCCCTTTTAGAGCATACCACACTATACCTCCATCCATTCTTCTCCTTCCATTCAGAATGTGAGTATATTATTTTAGCTTCTAGCTAGCTCAACTACTGATTGCCATTTTAATGGGAGCTAAAGGAAGTGATCAAAGCGGGGGAAATTTAGTGGTTGAGTTGTTAAACTGCTTTTTTGAGGAAATGATTACATGTGTGAATTCCACATTTGAAATTTGCCTGATTTAAACAGTTATGCACTAGTGTGTCTGTGTGTATGCAGATGATCTGATCTGTGTATGTAGATATAGATGTAGTTGTATGTGTACTTCAGACATATTTCTGTAAAAATTAATACTTTTTATAACAAGTTTATTGGTTAATAACCAGAAGCCCTTTCTAAAAACCCTACATAATTGATATTACTGACATTATAGATGCTATGGGGTGAATGTTTATGTCCCCATCCCCCCAACCCCAGTTCATATATGGAAGCCTGATCCTGAGTGTGATGGTATCAGGAAGTGGGGTCTTCGGGAGGTAATTAGGTCATGATGGTGGAGCCCTCGTGAATGGCATAGTGCCCTTGTAAGGATAAACATGAGAGAACTTGCTTCCTTTCCCTCTGCTTTGTGAGGTGCCTTTACCAGACACTGGATCTGCTGGCACCTAGACCTTAGTGGCATTTCCAAACCTCCAGAACTGTGAGAAATAAATGTTTGTTGTTTAAGCCACCCAGACAGTGGCCACACTAAGCCTCTGGTTAATACTTTTGTCCAATTCATATTTTTGCTTATTAAGTA